CGTCATTCCCTAAATCCCATTTAAACTGTCTCTTAAAAACAAGCCTTTGGGTTCTAAACAACTGAAAATCACCTTAAGCAAACCAGAAGTAAAACATATAAAAAAAACAATCTAACATTTGGTCTTCTCCAAAGTGGTTAATGTAGTTGTTTGCGATCCGGCTGAGGAACCTTCACATTTCAAATTTTAATACTGCATGAATTCCTGGAAATAAAATGTCACAACAGAATGAAATATTTGCTTTGTGAAGAAACACCAGTGAAATAAAATCATTAATTTTAAATCAGGCACGTGTCCTCCTGCAGAGAGGTAATGTGTGTGTAAATGTTGTTGTGACTCAGTGTTTGTGAATCAGCTCAGCTCTTTTTCACACACATTTCTATGTTCATATGTGAAGCGGTGTGTGTTGGACTGTTTCAAAAAACACAGCAATCAGAATGTACAGAATGGATGTTCTAGGAGGTGTTTCTGTTGCACACACACCCATCATGGTGAAGTGCATCAAGTGGATCATTATGAGGCATATTAAGGCCCTGCTACCACCATATTGGACTCATTGCAGTTCGCCTATTGCCCAAACTGGTCAACAGATGAGGCCATTGCCACCACCCTACATTTTGCTCTCACCCACTTGGACAATAAGGACACATGTGTGAATGCTGTTCATAGACTTCAGTTCAGCATTCAACACAGTCGTTCCTCAGCACCTGATTGGAAAACTGAGCCTGCTGGGTCTGAACACCTACCGTAACTGGATCCTAGACTTTCTGATGGAGAGGCCTCAGACAGTCCAGATCGGTAACAGCATTTCCAACACCACCACACTGAGCAATGGAGCCCCTAAGGGCTGTGTGCTAAGCCCACTGCCGTTCACTCAGCTGACTCACAACTGTGCAGCAATGCACGGTTCAAACTACATCATCAAGTTTTCCGATGACACGACTGTGGTGGGTCTCATCAGCATATAGAGGAGGTGCAATAGTTAACGGACTGGTATAGCGACAACAGAAGAAAAGCTGATACTGAAAAGGAACTGCCTTTTCAGTAACACCAAGTGACAGCACCGTATAAGAAAGCCCTTATAAGAAAGCCCTCCGCAAAGCCAGAACATCTTACTATTCGTCACTGATTGAAGAAAATAAGAACAACCCCAGGTTTCTCTTCAGCACTGTAGCCAGGCTGACAAAAAGTCAGAGCT